TCTACATGTACATTTTCTACAAAAAAAGTCCTTTTATAATTATTTTTTTCATTTTAAACTTTTCAAATCAGTTAAAATGACTAAGGAGTTGAAACATTTTCAAGCAAACATCTGAGCGCGCTGGCTGGCAGCTTCTTCGATATAGGAAGGCTCAAAGTGCATAGAATTGTTTTTACACTGCTCCTTAGTAGGGCTTATTAGATGTCAGCTTTCTTCAAATTGATAATGAACTGAGTGCCCTTTGAACAAAAGGCATGGATTGTTTATTTTAGTCTTCTGTTGGACCACTTCAGCACAACTGCTCTCTGCTTTTTGCTTCATAGTTTAGTGACCTGGGTTTTCAGATCTTGATGTCTATCCAGCATCTCCTCAAACTGAGCCACCTCAACCCAGGTTTTTTTTTTTTTTTTTTTTTGGATCCCCTCCTCAGCTGCACAGCTCTGTTAGCCAAGTGTGAGACTGAAGGTTTGCGTTTCTGTCTGCACCACCAGCTAATCTATATGCTAATGAGTAGATAATAATCAATGAGGTTCACGCATGGTTGGCTCCAATCAATACCACACCGCACCAGCCAACAATCCAAATGGCTACATTTCATACAACCAGACAGTTAGGTGGCATGTTAATGTGGTGGGGCAGACCATAAGTATGCAATTATCCTCTTGGTTTATCTGCCCTCTTCTACATAAATGAATTCTGTTGTTGTTGAGGTTTGAATTCAACTGCAAAGCTATCCCGTTGCATTTTTATGATGGTTTGGCAACTCTGTGCTCCTTGTTTTGCATTTCATTTCCATAACTGCTGTTTTGTCACAGATTTGGGTGGTACGTTCCTCATAGATCCTGATTTTTGTCATTAGAGCCTTACTGGTGCATTTTTTAAAGGTTTAGGGTATGTCGGCATAGCTTTAGTTACCTGGTAATGGTGTTCCTGCACCGCTTCAATCACATCTTTTAGTTGTCCATCCCACGTCTCTGACGAAACAGATGTACTTCTATTTTCATTACTCCAGCTGTAGACACTGGTGACATAATGGCTCGCATTTTACTAGCGACATATGCCTGAAGTGCATTTTAGTCATCATGTATATTTATTTGTTTTGCACGTGTAACCACAGAGATTATGTACTTGGTTTTGGGCGCATCCCAAATGTGGTTACCTACACTATTACTGTGCTTGAACACTTAAAGTTGTAGATACACACGGGGCACTGGAGCTTCTCCTGCTGCCCTGCTAACCTGCTGTTTATGCTACACCTTCTGTATAGACATGGTGTAATGGCCATCTCCGTGAATCGTATTTCTTTTTGTTCCTCCACTCTCTACCCTCAGTGTCAGTCGTGTCACAAAACTGAGATTAACTTGATTACTGTTCTGTTAAGATGTTCAGTCTGGCCAAAACGTCACTGCACCTGTCCTTATCTGAACATAATGATGATAAATTGGCCCACTCAGTTGCAGTTTATTTGTGGAAATGGTGTTTTCTATAAATGGTTCAGATCCTGTGCTGTAGGCCTGCACTCTTCAAATTTGAGTCCTAAAATGTGATTGGAGCCTTTCAGCTGGCCAGACTAGGACTCAGGAATGTAGAGTGTGCTGTCTGTGAGCTGTCATTTTAACGAAATCCCTTATTGCCTTGGATTCGACTTTACAAAAAGAAAATTAGGTAATAATTACAGTCTACCTTATGTTGGAGGGTCTATGCATCCAAAAAAAAAAAAGATCAGTAGTCAGGCAGCAGCAGAGGGGGAGGGGAGAGACAGTAAAATCATTACCATCATCTTCATTAGAGAGGATCCTGTTGTCCAATCAGCATGCTGCTCTACACGCGGAATCCATAGGTACCTCGTTGGCTGTCGCTAGGATACCACATAATCAGGAGGCAGGCCGTGGCCTGGTTGGTGGAGTGGGGTGTTGATGCTGGTATGAGCTCGCTGTGTGTTGGGGGTAGGAAAGAGGGGCTTGGGGTTTGGATACCACACAGAAACACGCTCTCTCTCATTCACTCAGTCAGCCAACCAGCCAACCACTCCGTTAGGCAGACAAAGAAGAGCAACATCCTGCAGGAGGACAACACTCTCCCGGGGGATGGGGCATCATACCCCCGCATCACGGTGGGGGGGCCAAAGGAGGTAGGAGCACCAGGGTTAGGGGGCTTTGTCTAAGCAGCAGAGTACCCCTCCACACACAGAGGCATACGTTTCTCTGTGGCTATTAAAGCCATTATCACACATCAATCGATCTGTGCTCTTGACAAATGCGTTCTTGTGGTATTTTTAACGTGGGTCATCAGAGTTTTCTCATATGTGGACTGGAGGATGGATACTGATGGAGGCTCCTGCACTTCCTTGTGATATAAGCTCTGAAGAGACAGCCAGTCTGTCTGACAGCCTCTTAATGGCTCTCATCTTCCTGCAGGCTGTGCAGATCCTCTTGACACAAATCTGACAGTCGGTTGTTGAGGTCTTGTGATGCCCGCTTGAGTAGATCAATGCGTCCTCTTGTGAGGGGTGCAAAGAGCTGAAATTGTGTTGTTATGGTGTTGATCGGCTCTTTGCCATATATTACACGCTGCTGGTGCTGCTTTGATGTTGCTTTGATGCTCTCAAACACACAGACTCTACCACTTTTGATGGGTACCAGGTTTTTCCCGAAACCAACTTATAGCTTGATTGTGGATGCAGGGATCCTTTTTGGGGAGGGGTTTCACTTGAACCCTTTCACTGATGGATGGGTGACTCCTCTCAGAAAGACGGGGCTGAAAACATCGTTACCAGAGGGAATTCCCTCTCCACAGGGAGGAGGCAATGGGAAGCTGACTCTGGGATGTAGGCTAATGACTGCATGTAGGCAGCCTTTGGCAGTGGCGGTGCTTTGTTTACAACCACAACCCCACTCTGCATGACTGGATTTCAGCTTTTTCACTGATGCAAATATGCAGATGTGAAATTTCAAATTCATGACAGGCATGGTTTAATGCACCTACAGGATTGTCTCATGGTTGAGTCGGGCAATTTAAAAATGTAGTTATACAAATTTTTTAATTGAATTGTACTATTTTGTGTTTTGGCTAATTTGTACATTAAAGAATTTTTAAAATTCAAATATGCCCATGTCAGCTAATTGCGTAGTTTGACTGTTTTGTGTCATCCTTATGATTCACTCAAAGTTTTTCATTAGATTTACATGTAAACTCAGAATCCAGCCCTTGTCTCAATTCAGTGACTGTTTACTTAAACATTTTACAACTGTTTACAGCTGTTCTACCTTTTACCATTTGAAGGAATAATATATGGTTTAGTAAGATTGCAGTTTGTTTCCAAGTCTGCTGTGGAGGATAAGTAGGCTCTAGAACTTTGCTTTAGCCCCTAATCCACTCAAAGGAATAATGAGGAGGAGGGAAATATCTTAAAAATTGCAGCATTGCTCCTTATTTAATTACTTCCATCACTCTCTCTTCTCAATCTAGCCCTTTTAAAATCAACCCTCACCCTTCACTTGCTCCCACAGCTTAATGCGCACATCTCTAACCTCAAGGACAGAAATTCCATCCTACCTGTCTTGGCCTCTCTTTTTAAGCTGTCATGCTATTTGAGTCCTCCACCACACACTCTCATTAATCCCACCTCCTCTACGTCTCTGGTATCTCAAATTCTTGATGATGATGATTATAGCTCAACTTTATTGAAGTCTTCTGGACTTTCTTAATGTCATTTAACAAAACTTGATCTTTTCTGTTTGCCTTCACCAACTAAGGTTACTTTTCTCTCCTCCTGTTGTCTCCACATCTCATCATCTGCCATGCTGAGTTCCCTTCCATCTCATCTGCTCAGAGAGCTCTGGACTTTTTTTTCTCTGCTAATGGATAGCAACCTTCAAAAGGCTTTTATGAAAGAGGTCCAAGTCACTGGTTTTGTTCCACTTTGTTATTGTGACTGACAAGACGAAATGGATTCAGAAGTCTGAGATGCAGAAAGTGATCTAAAACCCAGTACTTTAGAATTATACTCTAATCAAATGGGGTTAGATGTGCGTTACCTGTATTAGAGTTGATGACGTGGCATTTGATCACTGTATCGGCTTGTGTGTCATATTTAGAGCAGCCTCTGCTGCCTTTCCACTTAGCTTTTACCAAATGTGCACATTCTGGTTTCATCTGAAATCCTCCAGCTACACTATGCTTCCTTTGATGCTAAATCCACTGGATTTCATTAGCTTCCCAAACCGCATTTTTGTGTGATTCTCTAACCAGCTTTGTTCTGCTGTGCCTTGCTTTTTGTTTTGAGAGAAGGAAGTTTGTCACATCATATGGTAGTTCAAAAACAAAGTTTGTGTCTGTAAGGCACATAAATTTGGATTTAATATACAGTTCTTTACTTTACTGTAGTCTTGCTAGCAGTGTTGCTCTTTGCACTTCCTCAGAATAGCAGAGGTGTTTTAAGAAAGGCACGTAGTTTTATTCTGGTAGACCATTTACTTGTCTGTTTCAGGACTTGTACTGAATTCTTACCATTTTTGTCTGGCCTTGATTATAAAATTTATAAATACACAGATCAAATAATAATGATGGAGAAGAACAGGGACAGATTTCTAATTTGGAACAAAAACCTTACTTATAAATTCGATTGAACTTTGGGAGATGCCTTTGAACATTTAAACGTTTTTCAGTTTGGAACCTAATTTGCAGACATTTTCAGCAGGTTGTTAAGAAGTTTGCATTCGCTTATTGAAAATTTGATTTGAAATGAATAAATATCTCTAAGAACACTTTTTCACCTTTCGCATGATGTCTTTGTCAGATCTGATTCATTTCTCCCTTTATATTTTATATGCATTGGTTGTGTTGTGTTTTCTTGAAGTTGAGCCTTTCATTGATCGTCAACTAGAGATGTATTTTTTAAATAGGTCTTGGCGTGTCTTTGCCAAAAAACTTTGGGATCTGGGGTTTTAAAAAAAAATGTAAATAGTGTGATGCATGTGTTCCCTTTTTTTCTCTTCTAGGCACAGAAGAGCCATTCAGAAGAGCAAGGGGTCAAAGGTGAGAAGAGCAGAGGGCACCATGGAGAGTGAGCCGGGGGCCCTTGCCTCCATGGCCAGCAGTACCGGAACCGCCACCTCCTCCACCGCCAGCCCCGCCAGCACCACAGCTGCCAGCAGCAGCAGTAGTACCACTAACACCAGTACTACTACATCTACTTTGACCACTTCCACTAGCAGTAGCAATAGTTGTAATAGTAGTAGTAACACTAGCATTTCTAGTAGTTCCAGTAGTAGTGCTACAACAGGAAGACAGGCAGTGCCTCAGATATCTGTTTACAGTGGGATACCTGACCGCCAAACAGTGCAGGTGAGATTCTTGGTGTTAATAAAATGCCAGCCCCGTCTTTATTTGTGATGTGGAGTGTGATGTGCAGACACACGGACCATGTGCACATACAAGTGCACACAGAGGCATCTGTTGTGCTCTGAAAATGATGTTTAATGATTCATTTTCTAATTGGAGCAAATTAATGAAATATGCGTTATTATTTATCTTTCGGTGTATTGATGAGGAGAACTCGGATGGTAATTTCACAGGGTTTGTCCAAATTGAAGGAATGCTTGCTGTGCTTTAGTACTCTTGACCTTTTGCCCCCAGGATAAGCCTCTACACAGGCTTATCCTCCCTGAGAAAGGTTCACTCAACTTTGTGCTGATGCTTTGACAGCAGAGTTTTTGTTATATTCAGCCCCACTTCTCTTGCACTCAACTGGCTGACAGCTAAAAGGCAAACACTATTGAAACCTAAAAATGCCCTCTGAGGATAAAGAGCTACTGGTCATTTATGGTCAGTGAGAGCTGGATGTATGTATGTGTTGCTTCGCTGCTAATTTTACCCTCATTCCAAGAGGTGTTGTGTCGATGGACTGCTGACACCACAGAGCATAGCTCAGCAGCCTCCCTGAAAACCAGAGGGGAACTTTGCCACTGGCAGTAACTCCTTTCACATCTCAGAGGTTTATCTTTGTAATAATTTGATCAAAGAATCACTGAGACTTTTCTTGTTGATGATGACGATTGAGGGACTGGGTTTATTTATGTCTCTGTTTGCAAAGATCACAACTTTTATACATTTGGATATTGTGACTAGTTGTGTCTTTCTGTCTCAGTCAAAATACAAATCCAGTCCACTAGCTGTTAAAGTGAGGATGATACAATAAGTTATAATTTCTAGTTTTTGCACCCTGCTCACTTAAACTTAGTGTACAAATTTTTGTATGAGCGCATTACTCAACCATCTTTGTCTCTGTCTTTGTATGCAGGTGTTCCAGCAGGCACTTCACAGACAGCCTAACACAGCAGCACAGTATCTGCAGCAGATGTATGCTGCTCAGCAGCAGCATCTGATGTTGCAAACCGCAGCCCTCCAGCAACAGCACAGCCTTAGCACGGCTCAGCTCCAGAGTCTGGCTGCTGTACAGCAGGTCAGCATATTAGCTTCAAAGAATAATTTTCACAGTATAGAGAAGGTCGTTGATGTTATTGGTGATCTGCTGCAAGACGGGTTGCAGGAAATGGTAAAATTCTCTCCTGCCTCCCCCTCTCTCCGTGTGATAGGCCAGTATTGCAGTTGGTCGACAAAGCTCTTCACAGAATGGCACTTCATCTCAGCAGACAGGATCTACTCAGGCTACAGTAAGTGTAGCTATAAGTATTGGGTGGGTGTTCTACGAGCCTCTTAAGTTATTTTTGTCCATTCGATTATTAATAGAACTAAGTTCATTTTAGCACTGAGATGCTTGGGAGAACTGGGCTCCACAGTATCAGCTCTTTGTGTCGTGCTCCTTCTCTTTTACACAGAAAATAAATTGAAATGCCATTTGGTAGTTTATTCAGTAGTAAAAACAGTTTTACAGATTCTGGGTCTTTTAATATGTGATTTGTTTTGGCAAAAGAACTAGTATCGATCATAGATATATAAGTATAGAAGTGTGTAATTATCCTGTTAATCTTCTCTCCCATAGATTAACCTGACCACCTCCCCAGCGGCAGCTCAGCTGATCAGCAGGGCCCAGAGCATTAGTTCCACCCCCACCAGTATTTCCCAGCAGGCTGTTCTGCTGGGCAGCCCATCCAGCCCCACTCTCACGCCCAGCCAGGCACAGATGTACCTGCGTGCACAGATGGTGAGACTGCAGACATAAGGGGGCATAGCCACTGGCAACATTTACATGAGTGTGCATATTTGGCAACATTTACACGAG